GCTGCGCCAGGCTGCCCTGCTGCTACGGCACAGCGCTCCCGTGCACTCTCTATGCTTCGCCCTGCACCCCCCATTCCTCTCCTCTCGATTTTTAGCCACCTTCCCTATTTCTCCAACCGTCTGGGAATTCAGTGGCTTTTACTGGGACCTGGCCCCATGCCCCCCAGCCTTGCACAACAGTGCCTAAGCTTGGGTCTTCACCCTGTGTCCAGGGCGGAGCTTGGGAAAGTGAGGCCGGTGGATCAAGGTGGGCAGCTGCTGGCCTCCTCTGGGGTCGGTCAGGGTCTCAGGTGCTGGAGTCGCGGAGGAGCTGCGTCCTCGTGGAGGAGGAGGGGCAGGGCAGACTCCCCTGGGGGACCGCGGAGGCCAGGCCGCACACTCCACCCTCGCAGGGCCAGCCCCGCCCGGCGCCGAGGGCTTCCAGCCGCGATGGGGTTGATGGGACCGGGTCGTGTTCAAACCTGCTTCCTGTCTCTGGGGAGTCAGCGCCTGGGGCCGCGGAAGCCGAGGGTCTGCCCGGGCTTCTCCAGGGACGGCGGCGTGGGTGCCGGTCCCCACCTTTGGGGCCCCTCTCCGCGTCCCTCAGTGCTGTCCCTGACAGGCTCTCAGAGCCGCGCGACCATGGCAGACCCCATCCAGGCTCTTCCTCGACCCCGCGGGAAGATACGGAAACAGACGCCGGCCTTGCGAAGGAGCTCGGCAGGCCTCGGGGGCTGCTCGCTAATTAGCGCACACCCGCGTCGCTGGAGGCCGGGTCACCTGTCACCCGCAGGGCAGGCCGCGTTGACACCCTGTCTTCAGGAGCCTTCTTTTCCTGCCTGTGAATTTCTGTTAATTCCAGGTTTACACATGAAGAGCTTCAGTATTATATGCACTACATGGTAGTCTGTCTTTCAGTACTGGAAATCCAACCCAGAGACCAACTACGGAGCTACACTGCAACCTTTTCTTTCTGGTGGAATTAAAGGTTGAACTCAAGGGCTTTTCTCTGAGATACATTCCTAACCCCGTTTTAAACTGTGAAACTGGGTCTTACTAATTCACTAAGGTGCCCTGGCAGCCTCAAACATAAGATCCTCCTGCCTCAGCTACAGCGTCCCAAGCATGTGCCACCACACCTGACTAAATAGCAGGTCTGACATAGAAAGAGTATGTGTGATTTGAGAAGTAGGAATCACAGCAGTAGTAATAATTATTGCTTACTGAGCTCTTACTATGTGCTGTGGACTATTCTAAACATTTTCTGTTTTAACTCATTTTATTCTCGCAAATCTGTGAGGTACTATTATTATCCTTGTTTTACAGATATGAGAGTCAGTAACTTTCCCGAGATGTTAGAAGAGGCAGAATTCAAACCCAAACACTCTGTAACCTACAGAGACCATGTTCCTGGCCACTGCCCTGATAAAGTTTATGTCTGCCGGTAAGGTCCAGGGTACTTGGGCAAGCTGCCTGCAGTTACTCCTCTGGACGTCAGTTTAAGATGATCTGAAGCTCGGCTCTAGACTCCTGCAGTCTGCTTGTCCTGTCATCTTAATACTTTTCCGGATTTCTACTGCTCCTTGGGAAGGAGCCTGTCTGCTGCCCGGTGTGCTAGGACGGGTTGAGGTCACGCCCCAAGTCTGTTACTTAGAAGTGGTGTTTCCCAGCAAATTCAGACCGTTTTCTTATTTATCTTGCTGTATTTTTTTGTTGTGCCCAAGGTATATATTTCAAGCTGTATTTGAGTCACTTACTAATCAAACCAAAATCAAAGCCAAAGCAAACATCAATACTACCTTCCCACAGAAAGAAAAGGGAAACACTTTGTATTTTGGGCGATGAAACTGCCACCTAGTGGAGCTCGTGTAGATAGCAGAGAAAAGAAAAAAATCAGGCAGCCAGGAAGAGGTGGGCAACACCGAACTAGAGGGCGAAGGAAGAGAGCTGTGAGACGCGGTCTGTTTATCCCTTTAGCCTCGCTAGGACGCTCTTTTATTAGCACGTTTGCTTTCCTTGTATGGAACTGCTACGTGTAGAGAGCACGTCTCAATTCCATTTCATCCCCTTTCCCTCCCCTCCCGCCATCTCCTCATCCCTTTCCCCTTTTAGAAGTTCCATCTCCCTACTTCCTGTCATCTTTTCCTTTGCGATGTGTAAGCCCGTGTGTGATTGATTTCACTTCACATTATGGTCTCCAGGTGCACCCATTTTCCTACACATGACTCAAGTTTACCCTTTTGGCAGAGTAGCGCTCCCTTGTGTACAAACCCGGTGTTTTCTTTATCCATTCATCTGTCATGTGCTGATGGACGTGCAGGCTGCTGCTGAGATTTAGCTGTTTTGACTCGTGCTGCTGTGAACGTGGGTGCGCATGGGTCACTGTAATATTTTGAGAGCTCATCCGTGGAGCCTTGCGCTGCCGTGTGAGCTCGGCCAGGGCCGGGAGTTTCCTGTTTTCCGCTGCATCTGTAGGACCCGGAGCACTGCCTACCACAGGGTGGGGACGCTCGTAGGGAGCCGGGATGCAGTGCATATTTACCACAGGAATTAACGCTTAACTTGAGTTATCTTTAAAATTAAAAATATGATTTATATCTTGCTTTTGCTGGGAAATGTTACATAGTTCACATCGGAAGACCAGTTTGTTAGGGTTTGGGGATTTACAGTTCTTTGTAGTTCTGTAGTGCCCATGGTAAAGTTAGTGTATATTTTGTAGAAGATGCAAACATTAAAAATCTAAAATGGTTTCAGGGCCTTTTGTTAAGTTTACTTTCCTCTTAGAATGGGAACCCTAACAGGCTTATTAATGAAGTCCAAGGCAGAACAGATCCAAATTTTAAAAAGTACAGGGAGCAATCCATTCTTTAAAATTAAAATTTTATTTTTCAATTGGATATTCATGAAAATACTCCAGACTCAGAAAACACAAAAAAGCGCATCATGGAAACTCTCCGTCCCGACTCTGTCCTCCGGCTGCCCCTCCCCTGGAGCCGGCACCGCCACCGCCTGGGCACCTCCTCCTCTTCCTCAGACTTCCTGGTGTGTGCCTTCATATGAGATTGTAGGATTCATAAGGGAAAACTTCACAGTTATTATGAAGAACACAGCTTGGTGAGAAGCAGAATTCTTTCAGCTGGGCTGTGGATGCAGCACAGTGGTAGAACAATTGCTTAGCGTGCATACGACCCTGGGTTCAACCCCCAGCACCACCAAGGGAGAAAAAGAAAAGAATTCTCTGCTGTTACGATGTGCTTTTAATGACTAACAAGATGGCATGTTTCCAAATAAAAACAATCCCTTTTGGGATTCCCTTGATTTTTTTTTTTTTTTTTTTGGTTTTTCTCCGGTACCGGGAACCGAACTCACGACCTTGCGCTTGCCAGGCAGGCGCTTTTGCGCTGAGCTAAATCCCCAGCCCCTCCCTTGATTATTTTTAAATGGCCATTCTTTGAGTTCCGTTAATTTCTTAGGTCAGTTTTATGATAATTTTATATTTGCACATAAATCACTCACACAAATTTCCCAAACTGACAGTTTCACCAGGTTGTGAATGTCGACCAAGTGACCTCCTTTCCAGGACCTTAATAATTTGTGGCAATAACAGCAGCAGACAAGAGAAACATAACCATGGACATTTTACTTTCTCATTAAATGTTTATTTGGGAATCTAATGCTCCATGACTTAGGTGTGTAATAAATGTTGTGTGTTCTTTTTCCTGTTTTCTCCTAATGCTTATTTATTATTACTCAGGTTAGTTTTTACCTAATTTCTTTATTTTAAATTTGTAAAGAGGAATAAGAGACATATTAATCTGACAAATCATTCTTAAATACTCATAATGAACCTAAAACTCTGCTAGACATTGTAGAAATCGCTTAATTACTGAGAACAGTTGTGAGAGATTCTACCCTAGGGACATGCAAAGAAAAGGAGTTGGTGATGTTTAAACTTTGGGCCTATCTGAAGACACACAGAGAATGGTGAATTATTTAAGAAAATGATTAACACTGGGTTTCTTTCCAGAGTTCGAATGAGAAGGGACATTATTAACATCTCTAATACTGGGGTGCTAGGACCACGCAGAACCCTTGGACACCTGGCACTGCCCGTGGTGGGGTGGCTGCTGCAGGACTTTTTTTTGCATGAATACCTCTGAAGAACTACTGTGTGGCTTAGTGTTTACATTTCAAATAAAAGAATACCAAGTGAAACAATTTATTGCAAATATTGAAAGTGGTTTTTTTGTATGATAAGGAAACAGCATTGTTAGGTCAGACCGCTCCCTGGGGTGTTGGTTCTGTCTTGGTGAAGCTTATGCCACAGAATATCGATCTATTAACCTGTGGAGTGCAGCCACTCACACATTTCCATTAGAACTTGGGATCAACGGAGAGGGACAGATGATTTTCAGAGCCTCGTGGTGCAGTGGGTAAGATCTTGGCAATTTTTTAAAGGTTGGGAAAGCACACCAAAAAACTGGTAGAAGAGGTTGGCCACTTTGGCATGAAAGTGAGTAAGTGCATCTTTCCACCATTTATATTTCCTCCTTTATATTATACTAAAATTGTATTGCAGAAGGATAGTAAATAATATGGGGAAATGCTCATGTTATAACTGTATGAGTCTAATTTGGTGAAAAGAAAACTGTAATGTATATGCCCTGGAAAGCAGGCTGTACACTGACATGGAGACAGACAATTTCTCAATGCCTCAACTTTTTGAGTTTTAAAGAATGAGGACAGGGGCTGGGGATTTAACTCAGCGGCAAAAGCGCCTGCCTTGCAAGCGCAAGGTCGTGAGTTCGGTTCCTGGTACCGGAGAAAAACCAAAAAAAAAAAAAAAAAAAGAATGAGGACAATGAGAGGAACTATTTCCCAAGGGTGTGATAAAGTAAACAAAATGTAAAATGCCTAGAACAGTGCCTGACACTCTATTGGTCTTTATTGCTATTCATAAAATTGTTTTATAGACGAATTATTTTATCTTGTTTTCTTACTTTATTTTCCTGACCTTTTAGAATGAACCTTCATTTTTTGATGGAATTCTTGAAAGAATATGTTGCAATAAAACTTCGGTTCATAAGTACTTCTGTTTGTAAACAATCTGTATGTATGGTGAGGAAACAGCAAATAGAAGTGTGTGACAAAATTTTCCATTCATGAACTCCACACTGCGTGATGAACACGACTGTGGCCATCTTCCCTGGAATCATGGAGTGAATTAGGTTTGTGAACTCAGGCAGCACTGGTTCTTTAGTTCTCACACTCTGGAGCCCAGACATTAGGGGGTGGGGAAGATCCTACCACTCCCCTTTGAGGCATATTTTGGTGTTATCACAACTCTCTCTTTGGGGTTCTCTTCCCCAGTGAGCTGTAAGCTCCAGTTGGTGAGGCTGGGTTGGGCTTTGTGATTTGTGCTGAACGTCTTTCCTGTTCTAAGCCCCTGCTCGATAGAGTATTGGTTGAGTGAATGAAAGTTAAGTAAATATTCAGAGCAATGAATAGTCACTGTGGTGGAGTTGTATGTGTTGTCACTTAACGATATCACCCCTATTTTGTAGATTAGCAAGCTGAGTGGACATACAAGAAGAAAGTTGTGTGGTCAGGATTTGGACCCAGGTAATTTGGACCCAACTAACATGGACTGCCTACCATGGGAAAAAAATGAGAAAAAGATAACCAAAATCATCCTACCTAAGGAGTTACACCAGTGACATAGGAATTTTTGGAAATATTTATTGGGATTGTATGTGTACACAGAGCATTCCTTATAATTTTCCAAATACTTTCATATACTGTATATTGATTTTAATCTTATATTTGCCTATCTCTTTGCATTCTCTCCATAAAATTAAGAAATATTTCTTCCATTTGTACCTTATATACTATCATTTTCTGGGTAGGGGGCTTTGAAGCTGAGTGTAATCTAAATTATTAATCAACAACACAAAGAATTAAATTACACAGTTTTATTTGCCTGATATGCAAGTGGCTGGACTCAATAAGCATGGAGGGCTGGTTTCTAGCTTGGAGTATGAAAGTTGTGGTTCACAAGATCTCACTTTCACCCTCCCCCATTTGTGTAGCCCTTAATATTTCTCCTTCACCCGGACTTTTGTGAATAGGAGATGGCGGAGTCTGTGTCTCAGAATGAGCCTCTGACTCTTGAGAAAGATATAACAGTTAGATGAAGCTCAACAGATGGCTGATTCTTATCCTAGACCAGACATACCGATGTCCAAAGTCTGTGAGAACCCTCTTGTACTAGATTGAAATTTGCTTTCTTTCCTTCTCTCTCACCTCCCTCTGTTTTCCTCCCCTTTATTCTCTTCTTTTCATCCTTGCTCTTCTCTCATCCCTTTCTTTCTTCCTTTTTCTGCTACTTGAAAATATAAATAGCCTCAATAATTTACTGCACCGACTGCACAATTGCTAGGAAAGACAGACATGTTAGGATTCCTGCTGTTCTTCTTTCTGTTTGTTTTCATTGGATTGTTATGAAGCACTGGAAGAAACCTTTAACTGAAAGTCAGATGATCTGGATTTCAGTTCTGGATTTGATTTTTGTAGGATTGTATTTCTTCATCTTCAAAACAATGACATCAGCATCTAAGGACACTCTAGTTTTAACATCTAATTTTATGGTATTGGCATCCAACAGGTATGTGTGAGAGTGTGTGTTCAAGATAACATTATCAGGATTAATGAAAGTTCATAAGAGTCATAACACAAAAATCAAATCATGTTTTCCTCCTTTCCCTTCTCCCTCACTTTGCTGTGAACACGCGGAGGAAGGGGTAGGGTGGAGGAAAGTATATTACTGTGAGAGACAGTAATTTAATTTGTCTCCTGGCACCCCTGGGTAACAATTTTTAATTAGGAACTCAGAATTGGTATTCAGTAACAAGCTTTATGGATTCAAACCTAATTTGTGTGTCAGATGCAATTTAGATGACTTCAGACCATTTATAGGCAGTGAGGATGGGTTTGGTGGCCTTTGGTTAGAGAGGCCTGAGATCCATTTTCCAGTCCACTGACCTAATATTTATGTCTAGTGAGAACCAGGGAACACGTGTGTACAGGTGACCTATGCAGCAGACAGCTGTTAAATGATCTCCCCTGGGGCATAAGCCGAGTGCTTCGGGGAGGGCCTGGCCTGTGTCTCTTTGTTACCACTCTTTTCTAGTTGTTGGAAATGATGTGTTGTGTAGCTGCTTTGCACTGCTCTCTTGATGTTCCTTCACCATGATCTCACCCATACAGGACTGTGACAGTATTTCCATCTCCAGTTAATAAACCAAAGAAATGATTTTTGTAGTCAACAGACCTGTCAGTCATAGTTTGTTCTTCACTGTGGGTAAGTCAGCAGGGGTTTCAGAAAATGCAAACATTTTACTTTTTTGTGGTAAGGATAGTGAGAAACTAATAATGAAGACATTAATGAGTTTTATAGAATAGATGTCCTAACTTTTAAGAGTCTAGAAGCCTAAACTCCAATTTTGTCTTTTATGTCCAACCCCCTCCCCATTCCCAATTAGGACCTTTAAATAGGTAGGTTCCTGAGGAGGAGAGTCACACACACATGGGAACTGAGAAATTGCTTCAAGGTTCTGACTTAGCATGGAGGAAAGAAAAGGAAAGGCACATTCTGAGTCCACAGTGTGCTAATTAGAGATTTATACAAATTATCACATAATATTTAAGCAACTATGTATCAGTGTGAATGCGTGAGTCTATGCTGCAGTAACAAATATCCCCAAAATTTAAGACTTAAAAATCCTAAAGATCTCTCTCTTGCTCTGATTTCATGTGCATATTGGGTTGCTGGGGACTCTGCTCTACATTGTCCTCAACTGGAGCAGAGTTGGCAGAGCTTCCCTTTCCCAGAATACTCTTGTGTGTCATGGCAGGGGCAGTCACCATGGTGAAATGTATTCTAGCATGAATGGCTTCCCCCTAGGAGTGATTAACATTTCTTCTACTCACACTTTATTAACCAAAGCAAGTGTAGAAAAAGGCAATTCACAAGGAGGGCCAGAAATACTCATGCATTGCACCAATCACAACCAAAAAGAGTGACTGATATTTCTATTATTGAGTATCAGGATTTAAAAAATAATAAATGAGTTAAATAAGAATGAACATGGCAACTAATCACAAAAAATTATTTGAGCATTTGCTGGGTGAGGGCTATCATTTTTTATTGTAGATATTTAGCGGTCACTCTAAGAATTGTGCTTGTGAATGTGTCCCTGAAATTTGAAACTGAAATTTTATTTTCTGACAGTTTCTATTATCATTGCAAAGGAAAAATATATTTTCTTTGTATGTGAGGGTATTAGTTACTTTTCTGTTGCTGGGACAAAATGCCTGACACCTGCAACACAAAGCAGAAAATGATTTGGTTCACAGTTGCAGGTAGTCTAGTCCATGGTCCTTGACTCCAAAGCAGAAACATCATGGCAGAAGGGCAAGGCCAAGCAAAGCAGAGGACTGGGAAGAACACCAGGGAGGGATATAGCCTCCAAAGACACACAAGCAGTGACCCACCTCCTGTACCTGGACAGGTATGGACATCAGCTATGGACATCAGTGGATTAATCCATTTATCCATATAGTGTCCCCTGATCTAGCAAGCTCTCTAGGAGTGTCTTAATTCAGGCAAGCTGACAAATTAGCTGGCACAGTGGGTAAAATAATTCAATATGAGTATATTAATAGACACAGGAGCCCTTTTCCTCCCAAGAAGTCAGCTTGAGTCCAGTTTGAGAAATACAGTCATGCAATCCTTACCATACATGATGGATGTATCAGAGCACCAATTTGACAGACGAGGAGCTGAGATAACCTCACCTTTTCCAAGGTGCACACATACAAAGTGACAGCCCCTTGCTGTAAGCCGTCTGTGCCTGATCCCCAAGCACTTTTGGTCACCCATCTGTCCATATCCTGAGCTACCCTGCAGCAAGGCACCAGGAAGACCCAAATACAGGGTGATACAGGAGGCAGGGATGGGGACAGAGTTATTGCAGTGGCTCAACTGGGCCCCAGAGAGGGTCACTGACCTTTTGTTGTGCAGGAACCATGCTTTTAATCTTAGCAGAACATGAAATGTTTTCCAATTAGCGATTTTCTAGGCTTTGGCTGCAGCAGCCCAGTCTTTGTTTCTTCCGGACATACAGAGGGGCTTTGTCTGAGGCTGGGAGCCAGCAGTCATATCCCAGAAGACCTCAGCAGACCCCTGCTGGGAAAGGAGCTCTTCCTGGGCAGAGGCGCCTCCCACTCCTGAATGTGGTGGGGCCAGCGTGGTCGGGCTTTCTGAGCCTGGAGCTGCCTGGGCTGCCAAAGTCAGGACTCAGGACAGGGTGGAGTGGCAGGGCCAGAGAAGTCTTGTAATTCGAAGAGTGCTCCAGTCTGTTTAAGGCCCAGCCAGCCACTGGACTGTTAATCAAGTCACTACGTCATGGTGGGAGCCCTTGGGGAGGAACAGAAGGAAACCGGGTGACATTCTCCCTCAGTGAGATGCAGCTAAATACAGTCTATCTTGCAAAGAGGAACACCAGCAGGCCAGCTAATTTTGGAAGCTGTAACTAAAAATCTAAATTGCCTTGAAAGCGAGTGGTAATCCGTGTCAGGTGCTGTGTTGCGAGCTGCTTGCCCACACTGTCACTGAATCTTCACAACACCTAAGGAGGCAGGAATGACTCTTTCATTTAGAGCTAAACAGACGGAAGCTGGAAGAAGACATGATGTCATTTCCTCTAAACGGTAAAGTTGGAAGTGGCACTTCTCCTCAAACATCTGCTTTCTTTTGAATACACTCGCTCAGTGACCGTGTGCAGTGGAACAGCTCTTTTCAGGTTCAAGAGCAGCAACTTTCCTTGGAGTCTCCACTCAGCCCACATTTCTAGATGATCTTCAGTGGACGCTGGCCAGAGCCCGATGTGGAATCAGCAAAGCAGTTATTTTCCCTTGTGTTATTCTCTCTTGGGATCGGGACCTGCATGCTTGTTAAGTCCATATTATCTTCACATAATATTTTATGCTCCTTGGGGGAGGGACCATAACGAAATAGTCGTCAAACCCCATTATTCTTAACAGGTTACCTTTAAATTAAGGGCTGATTTTATGACATGCACCTATTTTATAGGAGTCATTTTATGTAGTTCATTAAGAGATGACATAGGCCCCCAATTCTAATGAAAACCTTTGCTTTGTAAGCGTGCTGTCACATTGGATGCTTCCAGTCTGATCCAAGTTATGCCACGGGGATGAGAATTATTTGACCTTATTTCAGAACTTTAAAATATGGACAAGAGAAGCAGCAGTTATAATTGATTGTTTCCAGATAGTTGAATGGTAAGTGTTTAATACAGATGTGATACTGATGAAGTCTCAAATATTAATTTATAAACTGAGATGTGGGTACAGTGTCTAGTAACTAGCCAGAAAGCTCAGGGAGCCTGAGAGCCAAGTTGGCGAGGTGGGCTTGGGACACATGCAGGGTCTCACTCAAGGCCACATTACCATAAATACTCACTTTGAAACTGACTTGGAAACTCTTGGTGTATGGAATTGGTAATTCCCAGCTTGGAGGGGTCATCTGAGGATGAAATGTGTGTAAAGCACCTAGACCTAGCAGATGTACAGTAAAGCATGGCTGCTATGGAGGTATTCCCGTCACTGAGGCCAGGGCCCAGGCGGTCTTCCTGTGCCCATGAATCTAGTGCAGGCACCATCTTGTCTGTGTCCACAGAGAACACACCATGGTAAACAGGAAAACTGGTGATACCCCCCCAGCTAAGGACAAGACTTAAGGTAGCTGGTCCCACTAAGTTCTCCGAGTCACTCACCCTCCCTCATTGACACATCATTTTATTCCACGTACTTTCTAGTGTATACATGCAGACCACACTGTCACTTTTCTTCACCTTTTTTTCTGCCCATATCAGAAATCAGCACAGGGAGAGATGCAGGGTGGAGAAGTGCTTGTAGGCTGGGGTAATGGGGAGGAGACTGCAGGAATGCAGAGGTGATCTAGTCTGTGTGGTCGAGAAGGCCGCTCGATGGGCTGGCAGCTGCTCTTGCCTATTTACAAAAAATCAGCACTTTAGGGAAGCCATATATAATATATTTGTCTGTATAATATACATGTATTTTCATGTAATGTATATATTCTATATTAGTATATGTTTATATACTAATATAGAACATATGTAATATATAACAGTACATATATTTATTATATTACACATAATAAACTTGTTATAAATAAGATGTATGTATTATATATGTTTTATATATAAAAATTTGAACTCTTAAACATTTCTACTTTTTAGCTATGGTTCATTTATGAGAACTGACACAATTTTAGTTGTTTGGATTAAAGTTGAGTGTGTTGTGTGTGTGTGTGTGTGTTTGAACAATGCGAGTAGCCCTAATTTGTAATTAAAGCGTGTGGGCCCTGATAAAGGAAGATCAATAAGATCAATAAGAATAGGTTCTTGAAAGACACTAAATTAAAAGATACATGAAGAACTGCCTTGATTCTGCAAAGGGGTCGCACATAGGAAACAGGTTTTGCTCCAAGCATTTCATTCCTTCCGACAGGTTTCATCCTGGCTCTTTCTAGCCATTGACATCGTCTCAAGTCGTCCTGTAGCTTTGGGGTCACGTTCACCCGATGAAACAGTGTTGTTTACACACGTTTAAGAAGCCTAGGCCATGGCTACACAGCTTAATCACTGTGTTCAATCCAAAGGCCTCTCCCCTTCCAGCTCAGATCCAACCTGTGCTTGCCTCTGATGACTGTGGGGTGAGGAGGTACCCGGCTCTTCTTTACACTTCTTGACCACATGCTGCACACACCTTGATTTTCTAGGGTTGAGAGAGGGTGGTGAATGGAGAAAGGAAGGCGAAGACATGTAATCCTGTGGTTGCTTGTGGAACTTGCCTGGCTATCAATGTCCTCTTCCTTTCCGCATCCAAACACTTCCCCTAGTGAGGCCACTGGAGGCCTTGTGAGATCTCTTCACTTACAGAGCTAGCGCCTCTGGCTTGTGCCCCAGGAAGTACAACCCAAGCTATTTCCTGTTGCAATCTTTTAGCTCCAGCAGGCGGCAGTGTTCCTGGGTGATGAGACTCAGTTAAGATGGCAGAAGTCCAGATAACTGCTCCAGTCCAGTCCCCTGGTTTCATTTTGAAAGAAGACATTGGTGCTATCTCTGCTGGGTAAAACTTGCAGGTATCTCTGAAGTGGTTCTGTTGATCCTTCTTTTCCTTACATGGTTTTTCTTAGGAAAAAACACTGCAGAGCATCTCTCCAAAAGGGCCAGGTGTGGTTGTGCACACTTACAACCTCAGCACCGGGGAGGCTGCTGCAGGAGGATCTTGACTTCAACACGAGCCTGGAACAGAGCAAGACTCTGTCTCAAAAGAAAAAAACAAAAAAACAAAAAACCAACCAAATAAAATAAAGTAAAACAACAGAAAGTAGTCTTCTCAATGAGTTGATAAGTTTTATTTTATATCTCTTTATGGGATAGGTTTCTGTTATACGTTCACTGACCAACTTCTGTGGTTTGTCACTTCCGCTGGGGATAATGAATCTGTTACTTATTTCCTAGAACATATGTGAATGCTACTGACCTGTTGCCTCAGTTTGGGGCTGTAGCTTTACTCCTCAGAGTCTTAGTCTACTTTTTTTTTTCTTGCAAATGCAGTAATTACTCTTTTGAGGAAAGATCTTGAGATATCTTGCTAAGCATTTGGAACAAAAGTAATTGATCTCTATTTCAGTACCTGATACCAAAATAAATTTGAAATGGATTAAATGTTGAAGTGCAAAATAAAGTTGATAAAAGTACCAGAAAAAAGTGCTATTGTCTTTTTGGCCAGGAACTGGCCTTTCTAAATTTGTTCTTAAACCGGGCATGGTGGCACATGCCTGTAATCCCAGCACTCAGGAGGCTGAGGCAGGAGGATCATTGCAAGTTTGAGACCAGCCTGGGCTACGAAGTGAGTTCAAGGCCAGCCTGAACTGCATAGCGAGACCCTGTCTAAAAAAAAAAAAAAAAAAATTGATGCCAAAGCTAAAAAACCCTAAAGGAAAGGAATGCTCAACTGGGGCATGTAAAAATTAAAACCTTTCATGCAAAACACACCATTAACACAATAGAAGACAAATAGGTTTGGGTGGGGCGTAGTTCTGTGGGAGAGAGTGTGCCTAGAGGCTCTGGATTTCATTCTAACCTTGTAAAAAATAGAGAGGGGTGGGGCAGAGGGAGAGGGAGAGAGAGAGGGGAAGACAATATAGTCAGGAAATAATTTGTAAGAAAAGATTAATATTCTCAATATATAAAGATATATCATTAAGGGCTATAAATATGATAGAAAAGTGAACAAAGGGTAGAAATAGGTAACTCAAAAAATATGAAACTGATCAATCAATAAATACTTGTGATTAAATGTTCAACCTAACAAATAATTTGCTATTTATTTATTTATTTATTTATTGTCTTTTTGAGACAGGGTCTCGCAATGCAGTTCAGGCTGGCCTTGAGCTCACTTTGTAGCCCAGGCTGGTCTAGAACTCGCAGCAATCCTCCTGCCTCAGCCTCCTGATTGCTGGGATTACAGGCGTGTGCCACCATGCCCAGCTAATTTGCTATTTAAAATGTATAAAATACTTTTCTCTTTCCTCCTAAATTTGTATAATCTTGGTTCTTTTTCACTCCGCGTCTTTGTCACTCTCTGTCACTTCTTATCTGCCTCCTCTATTTGAATATAAGCTCTCTGAGGTCAGAGGGTAATCTTTTTTTTTTTTTAACCCCAATGTGTGTCTAGTGCTTGATCGTAGTAGAATCTCAAGTGTTTTTTGAGTAAGTGGACAAATAAAGTAATGAAGAGAATGTAGCATGAGTAAAATAGCATTTTCTCTCTCTTAAAATTTGATTCCAGTGATCAAATTTCCCTGTAGAAATAGTGTGTAATCAAATTTTAAGATATGTACCTCTTTGATTAAGCAATTCCATATTGAGAAATTTACCCTAAAAAAAAAATTGGACAAGTAGATAAAGGTACACTTAGTTAACAATGCATTGTTTATGAGAGAGAAAATTTACACAAATGAAATTCACATTAATAGGAAATTGATATTTTGTAAAATATTACACAACTAGATATTACTTAGTTAAAATGATGCTATAAAGCTGTGTTTAGTGACATAGATATTTGTGACATAGAAGGAAAAATGAAATTATAAAAAAAGTGTCCAATCTAATTCTGTTTTTGCAAAACATCTATGAGAATATTCAGCAAAATATTGACCATAGTAAATTTGATCTTATGGGTCACTTTGATTTATATGTGCATGTTTCTATACTATGAATATAGCGGTGATGACATTCTTATTAAAGCATGTATTAGACTGCTGACAAGGGTGATGTGAACTGGAGTCTGAGCCAGTTGGGGGGGGAAATATATATATATATATATATATATATGTTCTATGAATAAGTTATTTTGATAAATAGCTAGTAAAAACAGCTTTTTAAAAGCTTCTAATTTTTAAAAATGTATTATTTAATGAATCAAATTTAAAAAAGTAGATGAGGTAACTTCGTAAATTCCTTTTATTTCTAGTATTTTTTCTTATTTCTAATTGCTGCCACCTAGTGGATGACGATTCTTTTTTTTTTTATTATTTTTTCTTTTATTTTTTAAAGACAGCTCTTTCTAGAGAGTTTACAGAAATCACCAGTGGATACAGTGTAGGTAAATGGGTACAACTTGAGACCATGCTCATAAGTGAAATAAACTGGACCCACATGTGTAAACATCATATTGTCTCCCTAGTGTAAGAAGCTGAAAGAGTAAATAAAACCCAAAACGTACAATTGATGATATGAAAGGGAAAGAAATTGCTCAAAGGAAGGAACAACTGGGATGAGGGAAAGAAAGAAAGAAAGCTATGTGTGTATATATATATATATATGGGATAACTGTACTGCTGATGTCTTGTGGTTTATTGAAAGGAACAGTTAATGCTTAATTTTTTTTTATTTTGACTAATTTTGCACGCCTTTATCTGGTAATCTGAGCAACTGATGTGAAGACAACAATATGCAATAAAATAACCATTGGTGAACTCCTACCATCTTGTCTAGCGAAACTCTGTATCATCTCTAATGTTTTTTAAATTATTTTTTAAACTCTCTTTAATGATTTAATCAATCTTGCATTCTTACATCTGGTAATCTGAACAACTTCGTTGAAGATAACAATATGTAATATAACAACCACTGTTAATTCCTATCATTTTGTTTTGAAACCTTGTATCATTTTTAATGTTTTTGTTTTGTTTTGTTTTTGTCTGTGATGTGGGTGTTTTGTTATTCTTCTTCTTTTTTTTTTTTACTATTCTCTTTAAAATAAAAAAAAGAAAAAAGATCACCAGTGGAATGCTAGTAAATGTTTAACACTAGTTCTCCAAAAGTAATGTATACATAAGAATACATTTGTACATCTCTAGTTCTTTTTTTTTTTTTTTTTGGTTTTTCTCCGGTACTGGGAACCGAACTCACGATCTTGCGCTTGCCAGGCAGGTGCTTTGCCCCTGAGCTAAATCTCCAGCTCCTCATTTGTACATCTCTAATACATTTTATTTACACATAGGATGCTACAGTTTATGAATAATAACATAGGAAATATTCTTTTAAAAATTATATAGTTAATTGATTTTAACAAAATACTGTCATTGATTTTTTGTTGAACTCTTGCATCTGTAGCCAAGCTGTGGTTCATGATTTCACAGTGGAGTTACATCCCAATCTACGGCCTTTTCCCCATGCTTGTTAAATCTTATGGGTGCCTGCTGTTTGGCTATTTCTCATTCTTGTACATATTATAACTATTAAACCCCAGACTCTTTTAGATTTAGCACTGGGTTGAGCCCTTCTGTGTAGCACTTATTATGAAAGTACTCTCCTCATGGTTGGCTTTGATCTACTAATGTGAGAACAACGTGGGTTTGGGGACAGAGAGATGGCTCTGTTCTATGGAATCTTCACTCCAGAGATTTGATCATAACCTCAACAGCAAAAGCCATAGGACAGTGTAACAAATGTATTTAAATAAAAACGACAGTGACAGGTGCCCCCATACCACTAAGTATAGTGGTATCCTTGTTTCAGAGTTGTCTTTGTTGTTCTGGGGAAATGCAGAACCACGAAAGAGAACCATTCTCTGAGTTTCTAATTTGTGTCTGAGCAGCATCTTATGGCAGGTTTTATTGTTTTCTATGAGTGAGTATCAGGGAGGAGATTTTTTTCTTCCTTAATATGTTTAAAGCCTTTGGACATGTTTAAAGAAAGAGAACAAAGTGTAAATGATAATGTGTGATTGAAATATACAATCAATGTTTAAATTTAAAAATTACAATAAAAGACACATTGTCATTGTTCCTCCTAAAAATACTCCCCCTTGCTTTTTGTTTGTTTGTTTGTTTGTTTTGTTTTATTTTTCTGGTACAGGGAATTGAACTCACGATGTTGTGCTTGCCAAGCAGGCGCTGTGCTGCTGATCTAAAACTCCAGCCCCTTCCCCCTTCCTTTGAACACACTTATCTCACCATTTTTGGCGCTTTCTGAAGTAGTTCTGGAAGTCCTCTTTCATGAGTGTCTTTGTGAGATGTGATAAATATACGGTGAATGCTGCTGCTGAGTGACATCCAACAGAAAGGCAGCTCTGAAAACATTACAGTGTGTCCTCATCCACCCTATTCACTGGATCTGGCGCTGTATTCTGGTTCTTTCCCAAAGACAAAATGACCATGAAAGGGAAAACTTTTTTTGTGGATATCGGGAATCAGGGCCTCACGCTTGCCAAGCAGGTGCTGTGCCACTGACTTACATCCCCATCCCAGGGAAAACTTTTGAACTGATTCAAGATATCAAAACAGACATGACAGTGGTAACTAAAGACATTCAGGAAAGAGGACTTCCAGAACTGCTTCAGAAAGCGGAAAGAACGGTAGGATAAATGTGTTTGAAGTAAAACGGAGGCTTTGAGGGGGATTCATGATAATATATCTCTTACTTTAATGCATTTTAAAAGTGTAAGTAGTTAGCATATTTTTCAATCAGGCTTTGTATATGTAAAGTTCTTTTTTTCGTTTGTTTGTCTTTTTGAGGCAAGTTTTCGCTATGCAGTTCAGGGTGGCCTTGAGCTCACACTGTAGTCCAGGTTGGCCTCAAACTCACAACGGTCCTCCTGTTTCAGGGAGATTTTTTTTTTTTTTTTTTGGTTTTTCTCCGGTACCGGGAACCGAACTCACGACGTTGCACTTGCCAGGCAGGCGCTTTTGCCGCTGAGCTAAATCCCCAGCCCCGGTCCTCCTGTTTCAGTCTCCCGAGTGCTGGGATTATAGGCATGCACCACCACTTCTGGCTCCCCTAAAGTTCTAAATTATAGAAAAAATTATTACCATACAATTATTTGCACTAAAATTCCTATATTTTCAAAATCCTAATCCTATACTTTCTAAATGTGTTCTCATGTTGTCCATTTGACCTCCTAACAGACCTGTGAGGCAGATACTGTTATTCTTACTTTGCATGTTAGGAAATAGCTTACTGAAAGGTAAAATGACTTCTTCAAGGTCAACACAGACCAGGAGTCATAGTAATTATAGTACAGCAGTGCCTGAGGCATCTCTACATGAGTGTTGGCGGAATACTTGGGAAAAGCGAATGAAAAAAAAAAAAAAAACAATAAAAATGATACAGAATTTCAAAACAAGATGATAGGAAATTAACAATGGTTCTAGGGGGCTGGGGATTTAGCTCAGTGGCACAGCGCTTGCCTGGCAAGCACAAAGTCGTGATTTCGATTCCCGGTACCAGAAAACAAACAAACAAACAAAAAACAATGGTTCTTATATTACATATTGTTATCTTCAAAGTA